TTGTGCATTTTGGAAGTTTATGGTCCATTTTGAGAAATGGTACCCGGGTGGTCAAATTTTGATATAAAAGGTATTTCTATCATTTAAATGTTCTATCAGGTGTTTTTAATCATATTTGACATGTCCAAAGTGTTCTCACAAGTTTGTAACCATTAGGATGAGATTTAGACAATTTTAAAAATGGTTTTTACCAAAAAAACTACACTTTTGCATCTGGGTATCTAAATCTTATTCCAACCGTTGGATTTCTCTAAAATTTAAGTTATAAGTAAAACCTTTTATAAGCTTCATGTGAGCTTTGGAATCACTTCGATTGGATATTGGACGGAGAAACAACGCACTTCAGAATTTGATCCGGAGGAGCTGTCATAACAGAAATATTTGTTGATGTTGCAATGTACATGAAATTTAATCCATCCGTTAGATCTTTTCAAAATTTTGTATGATAATAGTAATATTTAAAAATGACATGTGGGCTTTAGAATCACTCCAATCAGAGGTCGAATGATGAAATGGTACACTTCAAAAGCTAGTCCAGAGGTGCTGTCATGACAGCTAAAAAAGCTGTCATGACAGCAAAAATAGCCAATCTTTTAACATGTCTAATTTTTAATTTGACCGTTGGATCTTTTTAAAATTTAGTACACTTATAGTACCCTTTAAATGTGACGTGTGAGCTTTAAAATTACTTCGATCGATGATCAAATGATGGAACGGTGCCTACTAAAGTTGGCCCAAGAGGGCTGTCATGACAGCAATTTAATGCTGTCATGACAACATCTTTTTATTCCACTTTTATCTAGCTTGCTTCCGTGCGCTATAGGTAGAACCTATAATTTTTTTTAAAGTTTTAAATGATTTATTTCTTAAGTTGGTTAGAGGATCAACTCCTTAACCACACTTAATTTATTTGAATTATGTAATTTTTGGATAACACTCAGGGCAAGTGTTACAAAGTACAAATCTAGAGATCTAACCATTGAAGAAAATTAATTAAAGAATGACTATTATAATAATGAGCAAGCTAGCTGGGAATTTTTTTAGAGGGCCGAGATGATAAAGTATATATAATAATTAAAGGAAAGTTAAATCTATAATATATCACTGGCATAATATAAATATTTAATATATATATATATATATATATATATTTATATTCAATTTTACACATATACAACAATATATATATATATATATATATTTATATATTCATTTTTTAAATTTTACTCATTGATTTTTCAAAGCATAAAATTCATTAATTATCATGTTTATAATAAATGTTTTAGCAATTTTCTTCTTAATATAAATAATCATTAAATTGGTGAAAAATATATCTTCTCTATGAACATTAAATGATTTGAATGCATCATTCAAATTTAAAGTTCTATTTAATGCATTAAGCTATATTACTTGCTTATAAATTTACTATTTAATTCTTTCAATTAATAATTGTTGTCAATAAATATATCAACATAGTAATGATTCTCAATTGTTACAAAACATTTATGTACATCAATGAGATATAATTATATCAAAGTAAAAATTATTCATATAATAAATTTCAATAGCTTTACTATTTTAAAAAGTGATTTTTTTAGAAGAACATTTTAACTATAACATCTTAACTTTTGGGGAGTAATTTCATTGTAGATGTCAAGCAAACATTTAATATGTCTTGAATTTTTTGTTACAATGTTTAATAAAATTTGTTAATAATAATTCTCACAATTTATTTTATTAAATATAAAACGAAAGCAATATAAAATGACTTCAATATTTTAAGAGTATGTGTAGTATTATTTTGTTGAAAATAAATAGATCTCGTAATAATTATAGCTTCAAGTTATTGAAATAATTGCATTATATATATGTAAAAGACTGTATATAGAATTGAAATGAAAATTTTATTTATTATTTTAAAATTTTTATAATGTGTTAATTTAGGAGTTAAAAATATATAATTTTTATATTTTATTAAAAAAATTAAAAAGCTAAGAGAACTGTAATGTCTATCGGTCTCTCGTTTCCAACCCTAACTGAATAACCTAAATCGAGAAAAAAAAACCTAGAAATTTGGAAGGCTGAAATTTCCTGCCGTCATGTACATTCACAGTTTCACAGAAGCATGGTGATGGGCACGCCAATCGGAACCAAACTGTCTAAAGGAGTAGTCATGACAAAACAAAGAGAGAGGCCTCATGGCCAACGTATTCTCATAGTCCAAAGTTTCGCGTTAAAATTATTACTATTTTTTGTTTTAAATTACATGATACTTTAAAAAAAAATTAATGTTTTTATATACAAGCCACTTTCATAAAAATAAAATTTTATTAATAATATTTTTTTAATATTATATTTTTTATATTATCTTTCTATAATATTCTTTCACAATTAGAATATTAAATGAATGATATTTTTAAAATTTTATATTTTTATGGGTTAAAATACAATTTTTACTCCTAAACTAATTAAATCGAAGTAATGTTATCCTAAACCGTTTAAACATCCATTAACTATAGCTAGCGAGACTCATTTTTTCATAAGTTAAAATACAATTTTACCCCTAAACTATTTTTAAATGAGCAATGTCTCCCTAGACTAATTAAATATGAGCAATGTTGCCCTCACTGTTTAAAAACAATAAACATCTGTTAACTAGAAAGAGATAATAAAAAGTAGTTTCAATATTTATGTATCATAATTGTTTGGGCTAAAACTGAAACGCTGCTTATTAAAAAAAGAAACAATGGCTATAACAGGAATGGGGCAGAGGGAATGAAGCATTAGGTCCAGCAAGTGATCCAATAAGGGTAAAGTCAGTCCACATCATGGTAAAACGACTTTTACCAAATGAGCATGGGTCTTTGAATCCATGACTTTAACAGGCCTTGAATTTTGCAAGATCGTGATCCTCATTTGCAAATATTTTGGGAACCTATATAGGCTAGCAACTAATGATAGCCTATGCACGTTACAAATAGAAAGATCATGCTATGAATCTTGCAAGTTGTGCCTACTAAATCCTTGATATGTCACGAACGAGCTCCAGATTATGTGAGAACAACCTTCTCAACTAAACCATTATAAAAGGAAGAGAAGGTCATTGAGAGAAGGACCAAACAATCAATCACTGAAACCCATTACACTTGTAGTTTTTTTTTTTCAGATAGCTTTTAGGCATAATATTTAGCTTTGTAATCTTTATGATTTTTTAGTTTTCATATTCTATTAATCAAACACTTGTTATTGTAATTCCTTTGTATCTTTACATCTAGATAAAATATGATAAGGAAACTCAAGAACCCTTTGTTATCTTTTGAGACTCAATGTCTCTAACACACTTGATATTTTTGTTATTTGCAAAGAACAATGATATTCTCTATTAACATTCCAATAAGTCATGAACTATATATTGAGAAGAAGTTCAAATTTTATAATAATTTTCTTTAGTGACAAATATGATAATAGTTGAAATATAAATTCATACTAGCTAATAACACTATAAGAGGAGCTCTTGATTCAACAAAAAACATATAAACAACATTTCTGAGGTAAAAAAGGTCACTTCTTATTATCTCGAGTGGATTGACCTACAAAATTGAATATCATAAATAAATATTTCTCATATGTATTATAAACAAAAAAAGCCTATACATTGACCATCATAAAGTAGTTACCCCAAAACTAATTCAACAACTACAATGCCACAGTTTAGTTAAAATTCTAACTAGATTCAATGTTAACTAGAGAGAGATAATATTGTAATTAACTTTGACCATTAATTAATTAAAAAATTACAGAAAATTACATCAAAACATACCAAGAAAATTACATAAAAGAACCCAAAATTTACAAATAAAGACCTAAAAAATTACCTTAGAGAGCCCAAAAAAATGTTTTGGTCATTTTGTAGAATGTTTTGATAAATTAATGATTAAAGTAAATATTTATTAACTGTAGGGATACTACTGCTTCATTTGGAAAAATTGAAGAAAAATATTGTTTTAAAAATAAGTTTAAGATCCCAGACAACCATATATCTAGATTCGAGTGGCAATTTGTTATTTAATCCTAAAATTATACCTAATGAAATAAGAACTATTTAATTATTATTAAAATTAATCAACATTAAAGTTAGCATTCATTAATTAAAGTTAAAATGAAGATTTATAAAAATGAAGGAGAAAATAATAACAAAATTCCTTTAAATTTTATATATATATATATATAGATATATATATATATATAAGAGACAATTTGGTCTTTGGAAAAATATTATAATTTCAATGAAATCCCTAAAATTTTTTATGTCATTAATAAATTTATATAAAATGATCAAATTTTTCTTGTTGAAAATAAAATGATTACAATTTTTATTTAAATAATCATAACTTTTTTTTATATTTACAACAATACAATAGCAAATTATAACTTTACATGTCAAATTCTTAATATTGTTATAAGTGTTGGAAATAACAAGTAATGATTATAAGTTTTGTTTAAATAATCACAACTTTTTTTCTTATATTCACAACAATACAACAATAAATCACAAGTTCGCATGTCAAATTTTTAATATTGTTACAAGTGTTGGAAACAACAAGTAATGATCACAAATTTTGTTTAAATAATCACAGCTTTGCTTTGCAATAATGTTATAGCAAATTACAATTTTACATGTTAAATTTTATTAATGAAAAAAAAAGTTCCTATGTACTTCAATAAAATTATGACATTTTGAAGGATCACTTGTCATTTATATAATTCAAAAGGATGTTATTGTGATTTTTTCAAAATGAAGACTTGAACTCTATGCTGCCTAATGAAACTTATGATGCACCTGATCCATTGGTTATAAAGAAGATCTCACTAACATGGAATGAAATTATATGCAGTTTATAATTGGCACGGCATGTTGCAATAATTTTTCACAAATATCAATATTAATTTTTATTTTTGATATATTTTAAAAAGTCATAAAAATTAAAAAAAAGGATATCTAAAAGAAAAAATGGACCCTCTAAAAATGGGATCTCAACACCTTCCTTTTATTATATTTATCCCCAAGCACTTCGAGCTTTGTTTGAGAGTCATCTGATGATTGCCATCACAAACTGGAAAGCAAAATTACATGATAGTACAGACAGTTGTTTGATTTGGGGTTACAGTGAGAACAAATGCATCTGATTTCACCCACAATTCCTCAAGATGATGATGATGAACTCAGCTTTTCATCAGTCAACATTTGTTCATTGTTCTCAAAAAGTCCCACTTTTTGTGGTACCAAGTCTGGGATCTGCACAAGGATCAAAATTTACATGAATCTACCACCAACCAAAATGGCTTTGGATACCCGTAGCTGATTTGACCAAATGAAGAAATAATTATAATTGAATGAGCTAGAAAATGACAATAAAGAAATAAAAATGACTAATTTCATAATGACAACAATATTCATGTAAAGAACATGTGTTGTTGCTTTTTAAGATAATTTAAAAAAAATGTTTTCGTTTTAAAAATGGAAAAATGATGAATAAGCCTCATCAAAATCAAAATAGACAACTTAAGAAACAGTACCACGAAATACGTTAATTACTCTGAAGCCTTGTACTCATCTGTCAAAACTATAATTTTGACCCTCTGTGAAATAATGGAAAGCCTAGTTGAGAAAAACCTAAACTAAAATTATTAATAGCAAAGATAAAGTGATTAATATAAAAATTGTAGTTATCATTGCATGACTAAAATGAAGTTATGATCAACTATGTTGTTAATACTTGACCTGAAGTTGCTAATCGCTGAGCTAAAATTGTTAGTATAGAAAACATACTTAGTATTGTATAACTAAACTAACAACTTTGCTTCCTATATTATTTTGCTCATTAACAACTATGATTTTGCTTATAACTATGATTTTTATTATTTTGCTCATAGTCAGAAATGTAATTTTACAAAATAATTAACACATTTTATGATATTTATTTATAATTTATCTATTTCGATGGGATTTATTTATTTTCCTTTCAAAACCCTCTTCATTTTTAAAAGTAATTACCCTTACTTTTTCTTCCACATAAACTTAGAGAAAAGGCAAGTCCAGCTTTTCTGAAATGTGAACTGGTGAGAGTTTATTTACATTTTTGCGTCTCCCTCAGTTTACTACATGTAAAGTCAAATTCATGGAATCCAAAACAGAACATAGCAAAGACACAAATATACAGAGCACTGAAACAGTTAAGAGTGTTAAAATACGATTCCAAAGTAATTAAACATCTAAGATTCCTTTTTCTTTTCTTTGTTTTTGTTTTTGTTTTTGTTTTTTTTTTTTTTTTTTGGGGACCAAAGCTCAAATGAATTGAAACCCCAAAAGTTTATAATAATAGAACAAGTTTTTGTTAGTTGGTACCTTGGCTAAGCTTTTCCCAGGTGGCAACAGGGCACCACACTTTCGGCTTCTTGCTAGAAGTCCTTTCGTTACAGGCGAGATCATCATATCGGTTGGGCTTGTATACCTATCAACATCGTTAACTTCAATAATTATTAAATCAATTAAGGTATTAATTTATAATTTGACTGATCATGAACAAATTGACATATATTAAATAATATATGCTTTAAATAAAAAAATAATTATATATAATAATAATAAAATGAATTTTTTAAATTTGAAAAAAATAATTGAAAATAAAAAATAATTATCAGTCTCTGTAGTTTTATTGAATTTTGTTTTCAATCTCTGTAGTTTTTTTTTTTAATGTTTTCAATCCTTAAAAATATTGAAAAACCTCAAACCAGACTGATAATTATAATTTTCCTGAAAATAAAAAGATAATATTCATCAATGTTCAATCATTTTAATTCAAAATATATACACGTATACATATTTTATACATTTTTCTGCTATATTTATTCTTTTTTTTTCAATTGTCAATACTTGTTATGCATAAATATATATATATATATATATAAACTGTAGTTTATAATTATGAATTATTATTTTTTTTAAAAAAAAAGGATTTGTTCACACTTTACCCACTAGCTTTGCTTGTTTTCGTGGGTTCGAGATAGGTTCTTGACCAGTTCTTAGACTGGACAGTTTTCTGTGGTAACCAAACAAAATTTAGGAAGATTGGGAATCGTCGAACCGGCAACTCCGGTCTGGTCCGATTCTTATTGGGCATTGTCAAACCGGAAGCTCCGGTCCAATTCTCAAAACACTGGTTGAATTAAACTATCCACTGATCCGAAAAATCTGACATATAATTGAACAATTTGAAGAAACAAGTAACGTACCTTTCAGGATATTTGAATGCCTTGGGGACCCTAAGACGATCTGGAGTAACAGGTTTACGCATAGCTTCAATGGTGGGGTTCTGGTTTTGATCCATCTCATCCATCTGCTGAATTGAACGCTGCTGCTATTTGCACTCATCAATGGTTTTGGATTGAATCGGAGCTTTAAGAGGCGTTTGAAGGAGGTTCTCCATGGAATGGAATGATGATATCAGAAGAAGTAAAGAAGAAGAGATAGAGATGCGAGATCTGAGGGATTTGCGAGTAATTATTAGTTTGAAGTGATTGTGTTGGTGGTGGTGGGGACTCAGCACTCAAGCGTATATCAAAATGGTTGAGGAAAGAGATGACCGTTTGAGAGAGTGGTATTAGTTACAACGGTCAAATTGTCATTAGAATTTAGAATTGAAAATTTGGTCAAAATAAGAAAATATGAGATATTGCCGTTGGAAAGGAGCCAGAGAAAATGGCCCACCAAAACCCATCTTTATGTTTTTTAAAAAAATATATTTTATACTCTTTTCATTATAAAACATAAAACATTTTTAATTAAATCTCATCTCTCAATAAAATAATTATTTATTTTTTAATTAATTTTATTTTTTTATATTTACTCTTATTAAATACCTTACAATAAATACAATCATTATCAATAAAGATATTTTTTAAAAAAAATAATAATTACACCTCAAAAGATTAAAAATTTTTTATATTTTTAAATATCTAACTCTTTACAAAATACTTTATATTTTTAAAAGAAAAGAGTATATGATTTCAATTTAGTTAGCTGCTTAATTTTATAAAATATATCTTTAATCGTTTAATCTTGACATTGTTAATTTTAAATTATTATTTTTATACTAATTATTTTTATTTTAAAAAAATAAACTTAATATACTAATATTTAAAAAAATATTTTATCAATATTTAAAAGTTAATGTAAAAATTTATTATGATAAAACTAATAGTATTAAGATTAAAAGATTAAAAAAAATTTATAAAATTAAATCGTGAAAATAAAATTTTATATAAAGTTAAAAGTTAAAAATATACTTTATTTTTTTTAAAAAAAACTAAAGATAATTTTGTTCATCTTTTTTGTACTGGTGTTTTTTTTGGGTGAACAGTACTGGTTTGACTGAATTATATTATTTTCTCCACCGCCATACTGTTACTTTTTATTTAATAAAAATTTTATTTTTAGTGTTTTGATTTTCGATTTCTATCATGTTTCTTCCGTATCTGCTCATTAATTCTTAAATCTTAAAATTACAAAGAACACTAATACAATTAAGTCTCCTAATTAATTACAAAATACCAAGAGACAAATGTTAATTCTTACCATGTAAAATACCAAAATACAATTTTGACCAACTACTTTGACAAGCTACTATATGATTGTTGGATCATCATTAGTGGCAATAACATCGGTAATTTATTTAAAAATAATATATTTTTTTAATAATATCTTATTAAAACATTAACACTTTATTATTTAATATTTCTTTCATCCTAAATTATAATACACTTTTATACAAATATACACATACTAATAAAGCTCATTAATTATGCTTTATAACTTTATTTTTTTCAAAAAAATATAAACATTTAAAAATATCATTCATTTAATATTTTATTTATAAAAAAATATTAAAGAGAGAGAATATAATAAAAAATTTATATTAAAAAAGTATGATTAGTAAAATCTTATTTTATCGAAGTATCTTATATTTTGATATATCAAATCTCCTCCAAAAGTATTTTATAATTTGAGATGAAAGGAGTATTTTTTACTAGTGTTATTGTCAACAATATTGATAATATGATAGGAAATAATATTAATTTATTGAAATTTATTTGTAATTTAAGAAACTTAATTGATATAAATTTTCTTATATTATCCTTTTGTTTGTAATTTTTTATGTCAACTAATGGTTAAACTTGACGTTTTTAATAGTAATGACAAAATTTCTACATTTTTAAATGTTGAAAGGAAATATTACACTACCAAAAATTTAGGACATCAAATACTCCTACATAAATAGTTGAAGAGTAAAACTATTCTTTAATGTAATACTCCTCTAGTCTTGTTTATAGGGTAGAAAGAAAAGAAAAAATTTGATCCTATTTATAGGACACTTGCCATTTTTCAGTGCTTATTTTTACATGTTTGCCCTTATTAACTAATGTTTTGAATAAAAATATTAATAATAAGATTTAAGAATATTTATTAGAAGGAAAACTTATTAAATTTTAAAACAAAATTAATGAAATTTAAAGTTTTTCTTAATTATAATGAAATATGCTAAAAGTGATCTATAAATGAGATTAGAGGGAGTAATTTTCAAAAGATTGATTTTTGAACTTTGATAGGGGGCTCTATGGGTCTGAGTTCCTTGAGTTCCTGAAAATGATTTGGTAAGATACGTTACAAAGGGTTTTTGAGGGCTTGAAATCCCGAACACAACCATCTTTGGGAATAATCAAAGTAATAAAAGTCTTGTTGAAAGACTTAAGAATATGTTTAGATTTCCAAAAGGAAGAGAGACCATTCTGAATAAATCTTGATGCACCAAATTTTAATTTTTTAAATTTATAAATCACTTTCAATTTTTTTTATCACAACCAAAAAAATTTTAAATCTCTCATTAATTCTATTTTAAAATTTAATAGGTTTTCAACTCTATCACTAGTAGATGTATATACTCTCCTCATCATTATATATAAGATATTTTTAATCGAATCACACAAATCAATAAAAATTAGTTATCTAATTAAAAGCATAACAATATTTTAATTTTACCCATAATTATTGTAAATTAAAAATGAATCTTTTTTTTCAAAAAAAAAATTAATGAGAATACCTATTTTTTCTCGTTTGAATTTAATAAATGTATAATGGTCCATTCATTAAAAAAATGCTAATAACTTCTTATATTTAGGAACAAAAAAAAAGTTCTAGAAAACTTCTTATATATAAGAAGGGAGAAAGTATAATACTCCAATATATAATAATATTCCCAACATTTAATCGGGCAAAAGAGAAAAGATGAATACAATAATTATTATGGTGTCCTATAAGTAATATTAAAATAAATAATCTCATTCTTTACCCTATGAATAGGACTAATGGTGGAGCCACATTGTCGTCTTGTTTATATTTTTGCCCTTTGAACTAAATAGAAAATATTTAAACTCAAAAGCTTATTAAATCTATAATATTTTAATGATTGACATAAAATATAAATAGCATATTTACATAAAAGACCAAGTCAACCAGTTAAATATAATTTTCTTAAAAAATAATGATTAATTTACTTTTGTTACTACAATTTTAGTGCTACTTTAATTATTATTTTATAAAAAAATTATTAATTTTCAAATTAAATTCTCATACACCCTTTAGCTCCTGATCTTGGCTCCGCGCCCCGAACAGGACGAGAGGAGTATCCTATTACTTCAAAATATGCATCATTGATGAAGACAATATAACCCAGCTGTTCCAGTGAGAAGCGTGGCCTTTCAAAAGATTATGTGTTATTTCCTAAAACTAAAAGCTCAAAATTATTCCGTTCTTACGGCGGCTCGTACTATCAGTCCATGCGGATCGCAAAACCCCCTTAGTTTCAAGACAAATGAACTTTTGATTACGTCAATGAAAATGAAGGCATATTCGCACTATTTTCTAAGCCTCATTATTAATTCTCTAACTGAGAAGCCTCATATTGTTGTTGTTGTTATTATTAATATTAATACCCCACAAGCTCACTTCAGAAGGCTGCACAGCTCAACGATTCTTCTGAAGCATCATCTTAATTAATTATCTCTATGGCTTTCAAATCTTCATCAGTGAGTTGTTATTCATTCTTGTTTGTGGTATTATCTGTAGCAGCGTTTGGTTCAAAAGCTGGTAAGATCGCTGTGTATTGGGGCCAACACAGCCAAGAGGGAAGCTTACAAGACACGTGTGCTTCTGGGAACTACGAATTTGTCAACACTGCATTCTTATCCTCCATTGTAAATGGCTCTGTTCCTGTTGTGAACCTCGCAGATCACTGTGACCCAACTAGTACTTGTGCTACATTGAGCTCTCAGATTAAATCGTGCCGGCAACAGAACATCAAGGTATGCTGTACATGTGCAGATATTAATATAATCTTCTTGTAAACAAAAATTCTCATTACAATTGAAGAGTTATACATTTGATACTTATCAAATATCTATTTATAATTGAAACTCATGCAATTATCTGGATTAATATTTTTAATTTAATTTTCAAAAAAATTATTGAATACTTAAATATCATTAATTTAATATTGTGGGACCTAAATGCTGTTCTCCATAAAGAATATGCATAGATGGGGGGCAGGGGTACGGTCTCTAATGTGCCACATTTGGCGAATGTATTTTGTAATGTTCTAATTTTTCAACTTTATTTTCTTTTTTTCTGTAGATCATGAGCTTTTTCATAAAATAAGAAGATTTTGACATCTTGAACTTCAAGAATATAAGTTTTTGTATTTTTTTATGATTTTTTAAAGAAAACTATCAAATTATACACTTTTATCTTTGAAAAATTACAAAAGAATACATATTTTTGTCATTTTAAGATTTCAAAATATCGATGTGTCTCTTATTTTATATAAAAATTAATGCTCCAAAGAAGAAGAAAAAATCAAAGTTGAAAAAGTAGGGCATTACAAAAGACTATTAAAAAAAGTTACATTAGAAATTTCTAACCCATCTTGAACTGGGTGGTCTTTCCAATTATAAACAGCTCAGATATTCATTCGCCAACTATTAATAATGTTAGTTTATATAATATAATCTACTAGGTATTCCTGTCCATAGGAGTAGCTTCTGGGTCCTACAATCTTTCCTCACCCAACGATGCAAACCAGGTAGGTTCTTACCTTTGGAAAAACTTCCTCGGAGGAACATCCTCGTACCGACCACTTGGCGATGCTGTGTTGGATGGAATTGACTTCTCCATCGAAGGTGCAGCCAGTAACGAAAACTTGGACGCGCTTGCAGGAAACGTCTCAGGTTATAATAATAACCATAAAAGTAACAGTAAGAAAGTGTGCTTGAGGGCTTCACCACAATGTCCATTTCCTGATGCATCTCTTGGGAATGCTCTAAACACAGGCTTATTTGACCATGTTTGGGTTCAGTTTTATAATAACCCACCATGTGAGTATGCTAATAATGGAGACATGAATCTTCTCGAGACTTAGTGGAATCAATGGGTTTCGAGTATTAATGATACTATGATTTTCTTGGGCTTGCCTGCTTCTCCTGAGGCTTCTGCATCTGGAGGTTACATTCCT